CAGCAAGGGGGGGGGGGCTAACCTGGGGGATGCCAGTCCAGACACACAGGCAGTGGGGGGAGGCTAACCTGAGGCACCTCATCACCTGTGTGACTGGACTGGCAGCCCCTAGCAACGACTGCCGGGCCTCACTTACTTCCTTGCAGGGAGGAGCCTGAACCTGCACTCCTCTTGCACCTCAGGCACCCTTTAAAGGATCTTACATCCTCAGGGCACTGACCTCCTGGTTGAGAAACACTGTCTTGGTTTAAACAAGGTTTGGCCCAAGCCCCTGTGGATGTGGCAGCTGGTGCACCAGTGCCACAGCCTGTTTTTAAAGTCTGGAAGCACTAGCAGATAGGGCATATTACCTGGACCTGTGTGCCTAGGACTTCTGCCCCTCCCCTCCTGCTCTTGTGTATTTAGCTCATATCCATTACTAATGGATTTGCGTATTGAAGTGAGGATGGTTGGCATCTCAGTGAGCCAAAATTTAAAACTGCCTGCTTGCTTACTTAGCAATATTAGGCTCCTGTTTTCAACTAGGAATGAAAAGCACACTACGGTTTTTCACATCCCTGCCTATTACAAGTACAGATTTTTGACTTTTGATTTTTTTTTTTTTATACAGGTCATTAAAGTTACAGAAAATACTAATAAATGTAGTGAAAGAAGTTTCTGTTGCCTTATTTTTAATTACTACTATCCAAATACTAAATACTACAGGACCTGCTGCTCGCCCCCCCACTGCCTGTGCCATGTTTAAAGGGCTCGATTCAGGCAGGGAGCCCCTTGGCCAAGTGGGTGGAGTTCCTGGTCCCAGGGAGGGAACCCAGGCATCCCCAGCATGTGCTGCCCCCACCCCTACAGCTCAGCTCATGTTATTTTATTTCAGTGAGTTTATACTAGTTATCTGCAAATCTGATTTTTTTTCAATGGATCAGGGGGCCCCCCAAAATTGTGGGCTGGCCCTGATCAATTTTTCTCTCCAAATGTTATTTAATTTTTAAATTGAGTCCATTCAATTATGCCAGTTTAAGATTCCTTGCATCCATCAATACCTTTTTAAATGGTTTTAACTGAAAAGTTTTATGCTTTAAGATGTACCACTTAAAAAAAAAAAAAAAATGTTGCAAAACAAGTTGTGGTTTGTAGATAATATAAGCTATCAGTCCACAATGAATTTTATACTGGCTTAATAACTTATAATAAATGTGTTCGAGAGAATCTTAACCTTCGCTATCCTCTCCTCATAAGACTTAAGACGCTGTCCTTTATAGGACAGCCAGACTGGGTCAGGCCACTAGACATTTTTGTCTGGTGACTTGTCTTTGCAGTAACCCAAACCAGATGCTTCAAAGGTAGGCAAAAACAACCTAGTTAGGCACACTAAGCTGGAAGAAAAGTTATGTCACCTTAAAAGATAAATATACATACAGAAGGGCTATAGTAATGAGGACAAGTAATAGAGCAGATGAGTTTTGTAAAGTAGTTGGAAGCTCTTTCTTCTTTAGGTTCTAGCTGTGCTGAAAAAGTTCCGGCATAGCCCCTTCCTTGCACCTGTGCAGAATGCTGTTGAAGGTAACAGCTGGGGTTCACCCACCCTACTTGCTGCTTATGCACAATCTTCAGTGCATTATTCAGTATTGAAAGATAATACAAAAATATTACTTTTTTTTTTTTAAAGGGACTATCTTGAAATTGCTCCATCAGTTTCATTTATAAGTCATGAAATAATCACCAATGTTATCTTTCAATTAGACTTACTCATAATAACAACTAGAGGCATTTTTACACATGTGCACACCACAGTGCCAGCTGCTTTGAAAAGCACCTGTTGCTGCAACATGTGCAGTTGTATAAGTGGTGAAATGCATGTCAATGCTGAGAAAATGGCGGTGGCGTGCTTTTGATCTAAAACACCTCGGAGGGGCTTTAGTTCAAAAACGCACCCCTGCCATTTTCTGTGCGCTGACATGCATTTTGCTGCTTATACAACTGCATGTGGTGCAGTGCAGTGCAGTTTGCATGTGGAGCAGACTCGATGAATCAAGTCTGTTCCAAAGTGGCAGATCTCCGGCACATTCCCAGGAAAAAAACTATGTGTATAAATGCCCTAGGGATCTGCTTAACTTGTGGCAAGGCAAAGCAATTTTTGTGGCTTGGTCGCAGTACAGAGAGCTGACTTTTTTGGTGGGCACTTCCCAGCGGTCCTGTCCCTTGCTGTTGATCAGCAGAGACATGCTGTATAATTCGATAGCAAATTTTGCAGAAAGTAAACTTATAGAAATCTAAATACTAAATTTAAATTGTATGATAACTATACTTTTATATACAATGTTAATTGTAACATATCATAATTTATTATTATGTGGCATTCTACAACATTTTGGAAATTCTAATTAATGCTAACCCTAACAGAAATGTTTTTACTTCACTGGCACCTTCAGTTAAGTCAACATAATTGGCAGACAGTGTCATGTGATCTATGGTTGCAGCGACTGTCGCATTGTCTTTGTACTACAGTAAGCATTGGGATATTCTAAAACTGTATTATGAATAATGTGCTTGGGGGTTTTAAGGTTGATATCGCAGCCAGTGCAGTTTTTCCTGGTGATCATGGACAACGTTGTTGTTTGTGGCTTCCATGAAAACTGCAAAACCATGCATTAAGTAGACCCCTAATAATAAACCTTTTTTTCTGTTTAAAATCCAGATCTCTAATACTAGCTGCTAGTCACCATCAGAACTAATCCTTTTTTAAAAATGGGAAGTGAAAATTAAAAATAGGTGCAAGTAAGAGCGTCTGGATGCTAGTGGATAGTTTCAGTTTAAACCACTGAGTCAGAGAGTGAGCACATCAACAAGAATGGGCCAGGGAAATTCTAGAATTGTTCAGGTTGCTTAAATTGTATTACAGAACATTAGACTCTTGTATAAAAAAGAAGAAGAAAAAAAGGTTGTAATCTCATCTCACTAGGCAGGTTGCGTCCCAATACCCAAAGTCTCCAATGAGGCTACATCCACCTAATCAAACTATGCTAACTGTATATATTTCCCCATGTAACATGTTATTCTGTGCCTGTGAGGCCACTAACACGTATAGCGTTTGTACTTCAGATATTCTATTAAATTAACAAGCTAGTTTCAGCAAAATTTTGGGGACCAGAGATGGATTCCTATTTGGGAGCTGGGCTGCTGCTCAGGGTGTGATACACCCATGTACACCAGCATGTTTCACTACTCTGACTGTCCTTCTCCCTGGTTTGGGGTCAAGTAGCCAGGGTTTGGAGAGAGGTCTCAGCTCAGTTAAATAAATAATACCCAGGTCTCCATCTAAACATTTAAAAACTAATCTGAATATAGGGATATGTGGGTGTTCTCCCAATCCTGGTTGCTATATAAGGATGGTAGGATGGAACCTTAGGACTGGGTAAAGCATAGATGATATAGGTCCAAAAATGATACTGCCCAGCACCTTTGAGAGAGGGGGTGGTGTATGCCCTTTCTGACTAGTTGGAAGCTTTTCCTTACTTAGGTTCCAGCTGGAACTCCTGATAGACTGGCCATATAGCTTAGGAGGCCTAACTAAAATTACAATTATGCCAGTAAATTTTCTTGCATAGAAAAACTATTTGTTGGCCAACAGTCTTGGAGGCAATTTTAGGGTAAACAAAACTAAGCAGGAATTGAGGGCTTTTACCTGGTACCATGGAGAAAGTTACATTTGTGCAAATTGTGCCTTTTTTTAATGTTGTTTTTGTCTTCACTAGATCTGGAGTGGAAAATAATTTATGTGGGCTCGGCTGAAAGTGAAGAGTACGATCAGGTTCTAGATTCTGTTTTAGTTGGACCTGTTCCTGCTGGAAGACACATGTTTGTATTTCAGGTAAGTTCACTGTTTGAAGTAGTTCTAAAGTAACTGTGTTAACTTGGAGTTTAAAGTTGATGGAATCAGACAAGCATTTAATAGTACCATTCACTGTACAAAATCAATACGTGTTATCAGCACATTGGATCTAATATTCCTGATTTCTAAGGCCTTGTCTGCACTAGCCTTCCCCCCCCTTTCTTTTGGTACAGTTCATTTTTGGTATTAGTAGTTAAGAGTATGAGGCTGTCATGCCCCCTGGCATTTTAAAAACTATTGTCTTGACTTGCTCAGAACAGTTATATGGCATTGGTTATAAACACTAATTTAGTTGGCCTGTGTTAGTGCTACCAATACTGTACAACTAGTAGACCTGTGGAGGTGCCTAGTGAGAATAAAAAGTTAGTGCAGGCCAGTGGCTCTCGACTTTTTTGGACTCTAGGCACTTCTCTGAAAATGTTAGCTCTGTTTAATTTTCACCTTTTTTACTAAAGAAAAACTAACAGAGCAATTCTTCTATTGCAAAGAAATCAAAAAGACCAGAGCAAATCAGAATATTTTTAAGTCTATGAATTCCTGTTTGAAAACTCTGGGTTAATCCTGTGAATAGTGTTTGTACACTTAATAGTGGTACCATTGCATAGCACCCTAGAAAGTAAGATCTTGGGGCACCCCAGGGTCCCATGGTACGCTAGCTGATGAGAGTCACTAATGTAGGCATACTATCTGGGTGATGAACTCAATGACTTCCTAGTAAAGCTTAAGGAGAGCAGCCATCTGTTTGTTGCAGGAAAATACCACATCATAACAATGGGATACCAGTGTCATGGGGTAGTAGTGCAACGCAGTTTCACAAATCCTGATCCAGGTTTAGATCATAAGTAGGGACCTACCTAACTTGTGGGGGCTGCCCCCTGATTTCACAGACAACATGGGCCTGGACAGGCATTTTGTGGGTGGTGTGTGACAGGTCCCCCACCCCCATGCCTCCAATTGGCTGAGGAGGCCCAGTAGCCCCTCACCTCTCACTGCTGAGTGGTAGAGGGGTGGGGCCACATGACAGGCAGCCAATCAATGGTGAGGGGTGGCAGCCATCTTGCTGGCAGTGTTTCCCCCCCCCCGCCGCCGCTTGAGTTGCTGTAGTGCTCAATAAGATTTTTTTTTTTGTCAACCCCCCCATTTTGTGGAATCTGTGAAATCGCAAATTTGGTAAGTCCCTAATCATAAGCATTTAGGGGAGAGAGATCGAAATAATGATTCTCCCACTAATTTTGTGATGTTTAACAATCCTGAGAGCAACCAGCTGCTAAATCTCCCAAGTGTTACGATCAAGGTAGTGCCTGAAGAGAAAGTAGGGAGAGGGTGGCACAGAGTTGGCTTAACATATTAGTCTGGTTTCCACCTGAAGTCATTAATAGGAAGAAAATAAGGCAGTTCCATCTTACTTTTTTTTTCTGTATTTTAAAACAGTGACTTAGTTCAGTGTTATCTCTGCTCACGCAAGGCTAGTCTCTTGTCTTATAAGCCAGGAGTAAAATGATTTGACAGAGGTCTCTGGTCAAAACTGCAATAAGCCTACTCCTGAGGACTTATATTTATTTCCATGTTTTGCTGTGATTTTTTTTGTTTGTTTGTTTTCATTTTTTAATAGCTCAGTTCCACTAGATTTCATGCATGTGACCAGATGAAATGAGTGAAGATATAAATGAGCTTCTATTTTACTGACAATTTATATACAATTTAAAATTGATATTAGGATGTATGTAGAAAATGTCAAAAACTTATCATGAATAAGTACATAACTCCCAGTTATTTGAATGTTTCAGGGTTTCTCTGAAATATTGGATAAAGGAAAACCTTATTAGGCAAGCTAAAGGCACGGTTTGAGACATAAGAGCAGCATTGCTAGCCATTTACACACATTCTTCTAAGCAATTACTTTTCATTAAGTTTCTATACTGGGTCTAACTTTTGTGCTATCAACATTTCATTTTTTTTCTATTATGGATTATTGTTTACTCTGTTAATTGACAAAAAAATCTGTGGCTAATCCTTGGAAGGAGGTTACAGTGTGGCACACTACTGAAAGATCAGCTGACATTTATTTTACAATTAATTTAAAAGTATGCACTAGTCTGGGTGAAGTTGCTGAGGCTCGTTTTTAAACTTTTTTTTTTTTTTAAATTTATCACTGTTGCTAGGAGTTGTCAAGACTACAAGCAAAGGGCGATGGTGCCCTTAAAAAGCATATTTTGGACAGCTGATTCAGGTAAACCCTGATTACTCAAACTTCAGGTTACCATACATTCAGATATGTATGAAGGAATCATTTGTTAAATTCTAGTTGTGAATCTTGCAGCCAGACTAGTCTGCATGTGTGTAAGTCCTTTTTGCTTGTGTATTGGGATAGGTTCCAATTATAAAATCTTTTAATACAGGCTTTCCTATAATACAGTGTATTTCTTTCCTCTATTTATGGAAATACCTAACCTTGAAGCTCACTGAACTGATATTATGCTTTTGATGCGTCTCATCTATATTTGAATAGGAACGAAGTATACAAGAAGTCATGTCAGTGTTAGAAGAAGCAGTACTATCTTTTTTGCCTGAAGTCACTAGCTGAAATAATGCTAATATTAAGGTGTAGCTTGTTCAGAACTTTGTTTTTACATCTTGACAATTATGATCATAAGTGATCTTGTGGCACACTTGCACAAAGACAGCCCTCAAAAGACTAGCCTTTGGTAGTTCTGGAAAATGATGAGGGAAGTGAGCTAGCAGGTTTGTTTAAATACAAGTGTCAATGAATTTTTTTTAAACATTACTTTGCACCTAGACTAATACAGTGGTACTAAAAACTGGTTATCTGGTTGTGGTCAATGCTAGGGGGCAAGCAACTGACCATAATTGTTAACAAATTTGAAATGCCATTAGCCTAACCATACGAGGTATTAATTGGTTTTAAAATGTGTTAACTAATGCTAACACACTAGCTAATTGTTACTCAGTTAACCAAATCATGTTTTATCAAGACAACAGTCCTTCCTAAGGTAGGAAAATGAAGTTTTTGGCACCTTATTCCTTCTACAGCTTCAATCGGATAAGGCATTAGTTCTCACTTTCTATATCAGTCAGCTAATTAGAGATGTTTAGTAATCCTCTCTGCCTCCCTCCCCCAAAGAGGGGCTGCATTCCATGGACAAGTAAAGCAATTCTTGAATGTGTATTTACACACAGGACCAACTTTTCCATTGGCATAATGCCCTTGTAGTAAATGGAGTTAAGTCAGCAGTTTCGGGGGCAGGATTCTTAAGAATACTTCATTATAAAAGCTGCCGCATAGAAGGCCTTGTTTAAGCAGGCCCCTGCATAACTGCTGTGATTGGTTTGAAGCAGAATAAGGGCCCTCTGTGGTCTGAGAGAGAATACATGCTCCTGCTAGTATGGGCTGCATCTATCCCTGCCACTTATGAGGAGTTGCTGAGAGAGAGAACCCAGCCAGATTGTGCTGCCTCCCACAACATGAAAAGAAAATCAGAAGTTTTGGTTTCAAGGACAGAGACAAATTAATTTTGCAGACCTACAGGAAGTCTGCAATGAGTAGAGGGATGGTAGAGTTAGGTTTACTTGAGACTGCCATATGATAAAAGCCACAAGGCTTTTGGAACAGATTGACAAGTCTGTCTTGTAAATCTAGCATGTGCTAAAGCTTCCCTTTAATGGAAAAATGGATGACATAGCCAATAAATCAAGAGTAGCATGCAGCTAACATACTGAGGATGTTAAGATTGCACCCTCATTAAGACACCAGCTGAATTCTATATAGCCTCCAGGAAGCCTGTTGTGCATGTAGAAGGGTGAGAAACAATTGCATTTGTTGTACTTGAACTTGTAAGATTTTTGCAGTGGTTAAGGCTTGAACTTAGCAGTCCTGAAGTCTTAGAATGTATGTTTGGATGTGGATACCCAGACACAAGGCAGCCTGTTTTTCTTCCTGAACAAGAGAAAATGCCTGAGGAACCAGCCCTGTATCCTACAAAACCTTCAGATAGCATCACTTTCCTGTGGGTCTATTTGGGGATATAAGGTCTCTTGAAAGCTTGTTTAAAAAATCTTGAACTTCCGGTGATAGTTAACTAGATAAATGGTGCTCTGTGTCATGGACTCATTTAAGGTTGGTAGGTCTTACCAAAGTTTTAAGTTTGGCTTCCCCACTTCAAGTTAAAGTTTAAGCTCCTGTGTGAAACTTTCTGTTTAATAATACATGAGTTTGTGTGATTGGGGGCGTTTATGTAGGGGCAGTCCAAAATTTTACTTTCCGTTCAAATCTGTAGGAAATGAGAATCATTACTGCAGGCAATCAAGGACCTATACAGAAGACCCTATGACTGATTTATGAAGTCATTCAATATGTGTGTGGGGTTTTTTTCTATGTAGGAATTGATGGACATTCTATGAGATGCAGTGGAAATGCTCCCTAACCTCATATTATAAAATTGGGGATGGGGTTCCTATTATCTCTAGAGAGTAACGCCCTCAACCCAGGCTTGGAATCGCAGAGATTGTGATGCATATGTGCTTACTGTGTACCATCTCTTTATGCATGAAACATCAGTTTAAAAATCTGTAAATAGCCTAATCAACATGATCCGTTTCTCCAGATCTCCCTGATGGACAGTCATTTGGCATAAAGTTGTGGATAAGATTGGGTTATTTATTATAACCTTCTCCTTTTACATTTTAGGCTGATGCTCCTAATCCAGGACTTATTCCAGATGCAGATGCAGTAGGTGTAACAGTTGTGTTAATCACATGCACCTACCGAGGTCAAGAATTTATTCGAGTTGGCTATTACGTAAACAATGAATATACTGAAACAGAACTGAGAGAGAATCCTCCAGTAAAGCCAGACTTTTCTAAGGTAAGAAATGTTTTGTTCTAGTTGCATGTTGGAAGCACGTTTAGTGAAAAAGGCTTTCATTCTTTTAAAAAATCCTAAACGGTCCATAAGGCATATGTATCCTCTACATTAGATCAAGCTAAAAGAAGACTTAGCCACATGCCACTCTAAACTTGCGCACACATAATTTTGAAGCGGGATTGGAATGCAGTCTGTCTCCCACTGGGCTAAATCCTTCCCAGATCATTAATTATTAGAATTTATTACTGTTTTAGACCGCTCAGGTGAAATGAATTGCTAGCCTGTCTTCACCTCCTAATGGACAAATGTCCACATCATAGATATCAGTAATATTCATGTTATCAGAAACAAGGGAGGCTAATTTTGATTAGAGATTAAGATTGCTGACCTACTGCAGAGTTGGTCCTTCCAGAATTGCCTCTCAACATGCTTCAGTTCTGTGCAGGCTTCCCACTGTTACCTGCTCTGTGAACAGAGAGTGCTATCTATGCTATCTGAGGACTGTCAAGCTAGCACTTTTTCTAAGTATTAAATTTAGCCTTCTCCACCGATCTTTTATATTTGTAGAAGCACAGTTCCTACATGACAAAGACGACTTGTGAATAACAAGGAGAAGATTATTAGGACTGTGCAAAACAACACCATTTTGTTTCAACAGGACAGTGTTTCATTTAGAGTTTTTGTTTAGTTTTGAAACCGCTGTTCTGTTTCGTTGAAACTGTTTTGCTGTTTTGACGTTTTACCCATAGGCTACAATGGGGAACCACAAAACTGCCTATAACTTTTGTCATTTCTTGCCTGATTTGGATGAAACTTGCAGGGATGATAGCCCCTTCCGAGGCCATGAAGTCTGCCAAGTTTCAAGGAGATGGGTGCTGGGGTTTCTGGGAAACGAGGAAAACTCATGAAATGGGTGACAGAAAGCAGGCCGGTTCAAACAATGCTGCCTTTTATGCTGTCTTTCCATCCCCCCCCAGAGCACTGGTATTGGAAGGGACCTCAGGGAAGGATGGCAGTCACTGGCCAGCTATACATAGTCAATATGAGAGCAGTCCTTCCCCCCCTTCTTCTCCTTACTTTCTGTTTCCCTGCAGGCAAGGCTAGCTTGAGGTTTCGAAATGCAAAAAATTTTGAAACTTTCGAAACGTTTCAACTGCCCTTTGTTTAATTTTGGTTTCACTGTTTCGTGCTTGAGAAACAGCTGCCGAAATGTTGCACAGCCCTAAAGATTTATGTAGCTTGAAAACGAGTTGAAATAACAAACCAGTATTTGACAAGAAAGAAAAGTAAAAATAAAACCCTGTTTGATGTTAAACCAGGTCTGGACCAGCATTACAATGACTTGTAAAAATATATAGAACATTACAGTGAGGTAAAGAATAGGTCGATACTTGCAGAATACTCTGCTGCAGTCCCATAGAAATCAATGGGACTTCATGTAGAAAGAGTGGTTAAGAGAACTGTATAAGAATTGACACTTGAAAGCTACCTGCTGGTGAAGGGTAATGACGTAAAATTGTTTTCCCATGTATGTGTGAAGAATGAGTCAGAATAATGCACTACAATGACCAGTACAGAGAGGAGCCTTACATTTCCCCAAAATATCCCTGTATATACCTAAAATATAAATGAGGGTTCACTAAAAGTCCAATACTAAGATTTTTTTTTTTTCAAAAGTGACTAGTGGTTTCTGTTTGCCCAGCCTGAGAGAGTACTTTTCAGAGGTCAAAGGCTCAGCACTGTCTGATAATCAGGTCAGTTTGAAGTGCCTGATCCAAAATCCATTAACTTCTTGGGAATCTTGAACTGGGTTTTGTGGGGCAAGCTCTGGAGCTTTGGTTTCCAAAAATCTAGATGTTTTCACTTGAACTCAAACTTTAAACTCCTACTCTCCTTTATGTTAGATTTAATGTTGCTATTGTGAAATCTGTGGAAATGACGGGGGGCTGGATATTTTAATTTTTGTTTAAATACTTGTACCTTGCAAGCCAAGACAACTGTAATCATGACACAAATTTCACACTTAGGCTGGGGGTGTTCGGAAGGAAAAATACCTCTCCCTGATAAAAAAAATACCACGTGTAGTCTGCCAGATAAGGTTTACATTGTGTTCTGAAATAAAAAGATATTTGGCCCCTGAGATGCAATGCCAAAAGTAGATGGAGCAATGGCTCATTACTGGGTTATAAATGCTTGTGCCTGATTTCATATGCAGCATCTGTGGATTGAAGTTCAAGAGCAGTAATTTTTTTTAACTAATTAATTTCTTTCGTCTTCTGTATGTACAAGACCATTTTGCAAACTTTAGTTTGAGATGTATATAAAACACAACAAATAAACTTTTTCCTCCTTCCTGCAGCTTCAAAGGAATATTTTGGCATCTAATCCCAGGGTCACAAGATTCCACATTAACTGGGAGGACAACACTGAAAAGCTGGAAGATGGAGAAAGCAGTAACCAAAATCTACAGTCACTTCTTTCTACAGATGCATTACCCTCAGCATCAAAGGGGTGGTCAACATCAGAAAACTCATTAAATGTCATGTTAGAATCTCATATGGACTGCATGTGACCTAACTACCATCGTTTTGGTACTGTACATGAGTTAAGCTGTAAAAACAACCGGAACTATTTCCCTCAAATTCTATAAGTACATAGTTGACAAACAATGTGAAGAATTTGTTTTAAAACATTCTGTAGAAAGTTTATAAGAGAAACAACAGTATTTGAGCAAATTGTGGAATATAAATACAACTATTTTTAAGTATTTTTTTTCTCTAATGTGTTACATTATTGCTCTAAACAGTATCCGATTAATGCATATGTATTTTTCTTCCTTTGTAAATACAATTAAAACCTAAAGACAGAAAGTTAAAAATATTCAGGCAAAGATGAAATGGTGAAAACTTGTCCTTATCCATAATATCAAGATTCCCAAATATTTCACTGCCCTTTTAATGACGAGTAGGAACAAAACTGTCATAAAATTAAATGCACAAGAAGAAGTGATCTCTACAAAATTATCCTGAAATGTCCTCTTACTGTGAAAGCAGACAGCACTGTATAATTTTAGGTACAAGCTGCTTTTTTCTTTTCAAGATACATACTTGTTACTTAAAGTATGCAATTTGAGATCTACCATCTGCTATCTGGGATTTTAGTACTCTTTTTTTTTTTTTTTTTTTTTTTTAATGTTCTGCTGCTGCTATTTAGTCACATCATATAGTCTATTAAGAACAATATTTCATTTGGAGTAGGTGGGTGCAGCAAAGAACTCTTTGAACTATGCAGATAGTTGCGTAAAACTTTCCAACCAATTGTGTAAGCTAAGCCAATACTTACACTTCAATAGGAAGAGCAAATTCTTATATTTAAAAAAAAAAATGCTCCCTACAGGATTATCATGTACAATCACTGCTTGGCATAGTCATCACTTTTCTTAAGACTATTCACACGGTATGTGTAGCTAGCAATAAGGGGATGAAATGCTTTATCTTCCTATAGCTTCATAAAAAAAAAAAAAATCATATACAGTGTTATTTTTGTATTGAGGTAGTACTTGTTGGTACAGATTTCAAATTCTGGTCCACTTGTGCAAGACACTGTACACACAAAAACACAATACTAGTTTCAGAGAATGTACCAGAAACATGTTACCTGACAGCATCTTAAAAGAGAGAGGACCAGGCTGTAATTTATAAAATGTGTCATATCTGTACAACAGTAATATATAGCTGTTTCTAAAATCCTCAGCCTTATTATACCAGACAAGGTAAAAGTATAAAAAGATGATACACACTTAGAATTGATAGGACGTTTGTAATCATCCTTTTAAGAATGTAGGTCACTGTGGGCTTATAACCATAGACACTGACTTGTTTAGGTTCTAAATCCTCACAGAAAGATAAATTCTATGATAAGTAGCAGTATGGCTTTGAATACAAATTGGGCCTTTTCTCTTATCTTCCTGCCTTTAATAAAAATGCAGGTGCTCTAAGTAGTAAGAGTATGTTTCTAATGGCTTCTGTGAGATTGTTTTCATTTTTAAATGCACGTGATTTTTTAATAATTTTTTTTTATGTAAAGCCAGAAAGGGTATAATCTGAATGAACTAATCCAAATCTACATGAATAGTTCCTTACTTTGTATTTAAGAACAGTCAGAGCCAGAACTCATACCAATTTTGAAGGTTAACACAAATTCATAGACATTATTAAAATAACTAATGCAATTATTGCTACTTAGAATGAGTACCCAGAACCAGTGATACTTAAATCTTTTAATTTTTAACTTGCATATACATGAGTTTTTCCAAATGTGTATTATGCACACACATTTGTCTTTCATTCTGCCATTTTATTTTACTTTCTTTTGCACTAACTGTACAAGACCTAGAGCCAGAATGAAATTCTCAGTTTTCAGTCACTGTCCTATTCTTTATAAACAAAAGATCTGGTCTTCTAAATGGATGCATGCAAGTAACTTTAGTTGTGTTTAAGGGTCGGTAGACTAATTAAGTTTGATTTGGTTTAATACTATGGTAATAAGGTTCCCAATCCTTATACCACTGAAGTAAGAAGCAATCAGAAGCTATCTACTATTAGTTCAAAGACTTCTTAAAAGAGATGAAAAGGAACTAAATTGAGCCATCATACCTACAAGTTAGTGGTAGCTGAGCTAGTTTGACACAGTTAATCAACACATCATCTCACTGCATAAGCTAGATACTGGACACAAGAAATTAGTGTTCCAAAGAGCTCTTACCTACTTTATGGAAAAATAGCAGCTGTACAGGAAGAATTTGTGGAGGCAGTAAGACTTAATTGGACTGAACAGTGTTTTACACTGTACAGTATCATCCCGATTGGTTTCATCTCCCTTTCACATAATGCACTAACATCTATAATGGTTAAGTAAGCCAGGGGTTGTCAACCGGGGTACTTGAAAAGGCCTTGAGGGGTACAGTCAGGTGGGTAGGGATGGTGCGCTGCTGCACAATATCTTGCACTGCCATGCAGGTGCTGCCCACCTGGCTGATCACAGGGGTGAGGGAAGCTTGTGTGCAGCGGCTTCTGCCGCTCTGTGTCTGGCCGTGCAGTACCCCCCACCCTGCTCTGTGTCTGGCTGCTGGGGTTACACTGATCCAAAAAGGTTGGAAAACCCTGAAGTAAGCCATTATCTGCAGATAACCCCCCCTGTTCCTCCAGTTTGATATAAGCCAAAGAAGAGCAATTATGTTAATTACTACTAGGCTTTCAAAACCCCTTTTAGCCAAGCAGTCTTTCTAAGCCAGAGCCAGGCAATTATTTCAGGCAGAGGGCCTCTTACTGAGTTTTGGCAAGCCATTGAGGGCCACATGCAGCCACAGGCAGATGAATATTAATTTTCTAAATTTTTTAGGGGCCCTGTGGGCCAGATAGACTGGTCTGGCGGGCTGCATCCGGCCTGTGGGCTGCATTTTGCCCACCCCTGTTCTAAGCCCACTGAACAAAGCCATAGGCTACCTGAGCCTTTAAATCCTAACAGTGTGAACTGGTCATTCTCAACCAGGGTGATGCAGGAAGTGTGAGGAGATAAGTAAAGTGTGAAAGATAGATGTGGATGAGGGCAGGCTTGGGCTCTAGGTTTGAGAAGATAAGCAGATAAGGCAGTCTTAGGCTCTCCCTGGCTGGCGACTCCCCCACGCTCACTGCCTGGCCCCTCTGCAAGAAGGTAAGACGTGTAATGTGTTAGTTTTTTAAATGAAGTGCCAATAAATTCACATAAGTTATGGAAGAGTGTCTCAAGTCTAAAAAGGCTGAGAACTGCTGTTGTAAAAAGATCACCTCTTTAATTTCACATCCCTCCACACAAATCACTGAGACTGAACCACAGCATCCTGAGTGTTTCAAAATTGATTCTAAGACCAGGACATGGCACAAAGATAGCTCTAGTGGGAGTAAAAATTATGGCAGTGGGAAGAGGCCACCTCTCAATGCACACTAGGGCTGTGCGAAGCTTTGGGGGGTGATTTAATTTGGAGGAGATTTGGCCCGATTTGGTGGCCGAATCTCCAAATCCAAACTGAATCGGCACCAATTTAAAGGTCTGAATCAATTCAAAGCTCTCTGAATCTCTCTGATTCGGAGAGCTTTGATGATTCAGGCAGTCGCTGGTGGCTGCAGCAGGGAGC